AGTGTAAGACTAGAGGGAAGGCAGCTAGTAATCACTACCCACCGCCAACTCTTGGGCTACGCTTTTACCAACGAATAGTGGGATTGACCGTAACATTATAACGCCCCCACAGCTGAAAGGGCGAGCATGTTTGGTGTGACGGGGATTCGAACCCGCGATCCTCAGATTGCGAATCGAGCGCCCTAACCATCTGCCCATGCCGGGCCGGGAAAAAGTGAACTATATACCGCAGGAGTTGAAAATATTAAAATTTATTAATAAGAATTAACTGTAATTTGAATCTCTTCCTAAAGTATGGTTCTAGAAATGAGGATAAGTCACCAAAACAAATACAATTCTTTTCAACAACTAAGGACTGTCCTCAATGAAGGCAATAAACGAAAGACAAAGCTTACTTTGTTTTTGTTTTTTTTCCAAAATTAAATATGAACCCAGCGGAAATTTAAATGAAGGCTTATGCGTTATTGACAAAAGTCAATAAATTTAGCTTTAAAATTAGAGGTAGAAAGAGAAATTGAATTATCTTTTTTTTTTTGCTGTGTAAAATCAAATACCAAAATCCCCAAGGTGATTGTGACGAACTTTGATACATTCCTGTTATTGCCTATTACAGTGTTTGTCTGCGTCTCACCAACCACTCTCAACAGTGTTTGTCTACTTCTACAACCAAGTTATTTCTTCGCAACGGTTTTTTTTAGCATGGAGTCTGTGGTTTTTGTTATTTTTTCCCCTTAATTCGGATCTACCCTACAGATCTCTTGTTATTGTTCATAACTTACAGGTATAAGATGTACCAAGCTTTCGGTGTTTGTCTTTTCTTCCTGCTTCTGCTCTTGATTACACGATCGTGACTCAAAGTATCTCATGATAAAAACACGCATCTGGAAATTATACAAGCACATCAGCGTGTAATAAATTTAGTTATTTGCACATTTTTCTGGAATATCAGGTTCAATATCAATTATCGTCCTCTTCGTCTGAGAGTATTCCGATTCTCCGCCCCACACACTTTACTGACTTAGTTACCTCCTCCTGTACCAAGTTGAAGGACATTGCCAGAAGTGCCATGCCAAACAGTAGGTAGAGGGCGCACAATCCTAGGGTTAATTGGGCATCTTCCGACAATACGGCTGTACCAGGGACCAGATCTCCAAATCCAATGGTTGTTAATGTAACGAAACAGAAGTATGAACTGTCTAAAAAGTTCCAGCCCTCCCAGATAGTGAAAAGGACCGCCCCACCACAAATATAACCAATCACAACTGCTGAACATAACCAGATAGGAACAGTAACTTCTTCTTTTTCATCATCGCTATCTTCCGACCCAGATTCCTCCTCCATGAGGTCTAACTCTACAGGCTCCGCCTGTCGACGGTTTCCCCAACTACACTGGTCCGCACGTCTGGACTTGGTGGGTGGGCTATATAGGCTAGGTTGCTCTGTTCGCACTCCAGTTGGAGTAGACAAGCCAAATGAGACATCTTCTCTACCCTGAAGTACATACTTGTTAGGTATCACCGGTACCTGGTTGATATCACTGTAGGGTCTCCCCTGAGGGGGTGCTGGAAACCGAGGGGAGCCTAGTCCGATAGAAGTAGGAGAGGTAGGGGAAGTAGGTGGCGAAGTAGGAGAATGGGGACTATAATCACTAACCGATAACCCTTCACCTGGAGCGGTGTAGTAGCTACTTCGACTGATGGTGTCTACGAATTCTGGGTTTTTTCCGTAGTCCAAGAAAGGATTCCGGCCAGCCGAATATCGTGCACTATGGCGAAAAGAAGGCCTGTTTCCTCGGCGCTTTTTGCGTGGCTTGATACATAAGTAACAACAAACCTTCCAGTAGATGAACTTAAAAGAATGAGCCATGGCGTCCCCTATATTTGACAAACACAAGAGCATAAGCGGTATCCCAATAATGGCGTATAGGATGGTAACCATTTTACCCCATGGCGTCTTGGGAGCTATGTTTCCGTAACCTGCAAAAAAAGAAAAACGAGCATTAATGAAATAAATGAGAACTAATAAATAATGCTTGTGGAGATACGATACACTTTTTACATGTAACTTATATTAAGGTAAATTGTTAGGTTAGATGAGTACGTGAGTAGCAGAAACAGTTAATAAAAAATGTTCAAGCTACTACAAAGCTTGAGTACATTCTATTAAAACGATATTGTAGCCTCACCACGTCGATACAGTCTGTGTCGCCACGTCCGTTCATGCTCTGTCTAACGAGCATACATCTTGACAATCAATAGCGGACTGGCCGATGATGGGCTCTCCCCTGCCCACAAGGTGGCGATGTCTCCTTTTGGAAATGCTATGTTTTCCGGTGTCCGTTCCTTGTCTTTCTCTATACAATTTTTACAACCCCAACAATGTTTTGCGGTAAAACTATACATTTATTAAGTTCTTATAGAAAACTAAATTATTTTCCTATATGTAAATGAATCTGTACTAAATTTATTAAAGGGAAGTAAGATGATTTAAAAACCTTAATAATAACAACATTTTCATCTTCAGTCAAATTCAATGTAAAATATTATTTCTGTATGCTTAGTGTATATACTTTAAAAATAGTTGTGACTAATGAAACGAAAATATATATATCTAGACAGGTATGGATGGCCTAAATGAATAATTTTGGACCTAGAATTTGTATAGAGTTTATTATTCATAAGTATTCAATAACACAATGTGTCTATTGTAAACGTCCCCCGGTGGGACAGCACTAAGGTTACGAACTTACAACCCTAAAATCCTGGGTTCGTTCCTCGAAGGGGACACATCATATAGCCCAATATGCTAAAAACAAAGAAACAAACTATTTCTGACATATATTCTTTAATGGAAAATTTTGAAACAGTTATTTACTGTAGGGGAAAATAAATTAGATGTTCTTATTACGGAATACATTATCTATTCTAAATAAATCTTGAAAACAAAGTGTTTGTGTACAAATTTTGAAATATTTGAAGGTAAAAATTAACAGTGATAACAAGGTGTATTAAATCCGAGACATGGTATTTTTATCCTTTAAACTCTAACTTACAGGGTTATGTTTTTAAGCAAAGGGAAATTTTCAGAGAGGAATAAAATAATTTTAATGTTACAAAACTAGCAAAAACAACTACTCTGGACAATAATTGCTCTTCCCTTTTCCTACTAATTTTATACAGTTGTTTTATTACTAAGAAAAATTGTCTTTTCGTTTGTTCCAACTATCACACAGTCCATATAAGAGGTGTATAAGATATAATACTCCACAATAAAGCTGGCAGATAATTACATTGCACTTAGGATGAATTTAATACACACCACAAGATGGCGCAGTTCGGATTATGTAAGTTCGTATGGTTTCAACATTTTACTCACGTTATACTAAGACGACTTGGGGCCTCGCCACGTCACAACAGTCGATCTCACCTCGTCTGATCATGCTCTAGTTAAAGACCATGTATCTTTATAATAGCACTGCAGCATAGTTTCTATTGCAAACGGTTCCATGGTAAGGTTGTCACGTTCAAAACATACCTATTCTCCATGAAACTTTCTATAACCTATCTAGTGTATGAGAATGATGGTTTCCTAGCGTCCGTTTCAATAGTACGATCTCACAGTACGATCCAATCTCGCGACTTGACAGGTATGTCTATAAAAGAAACAGTATGAATGCTTGTTTCATTCTCCAGCTGCTTGAGGTAAGATATTGTTAAATAAATATGTCACGGATGCAACTTGTGTTGCTTCTCGAGATGGTGATCCTTCTTGATTATGTTAGGTTCTCTTACTTGGGGCACGTGGACGGCTTTTTGCCAGTGATCTTTTTTGTTCCAGGATTCTCACCTGTTACAAGACGCCTCTTACCTTGGCTGAATACAACTTGGCGGATGGTCATGGTTACCCAAGTTGATTCGTATACCTTTGTTATTCATTGCCATTAAGTACAAGGAATATCCCCGTCTTGGTAATTCTTTATGATCTCTGTGTATTAATATTTTGCGTCAGAAAGGGTTGTTGCATACTCTTTCCAAAAGCGATTAATTTTAGGTAGCACCACACAATATAAACATGTAGTTCTGTTGCATGCCGCTCCACCGGCCAGGATTGTCACGTGACTTGTTGATTTGTTTATTCTGAATGATTTTAATGTATAACATATTCAGTTCTTGTATATCGCGTCAAACTGAGGTTCATTTGAAGCTACAAGCTTTTAAAAACTTTTCAGTTATGCGGGAAGTGTTAGTCTTACGGTTTTTATTACCTGTTCTTTTCAACCATGTTATATAAGTTTCTTCTGTAGTCGCATAAACTCAAGAATTACTAGTTTCGTTTTGAGTTTACTTTGTGGTTAAGTATATTTTTCTACAAATTACAGCTTTTAAAGTAAATGAGATCTATTCTTAAAACAGGCACAACGTTTCCATCACGGGTGCGATCATTCTCAAGTATACAAGTTAAAGATAACGAAGAGAAAAACCATGACGGAAAGTGTTAATGTTTATCCTCACCGAAGCTCCCGACGTACTTTTGAAGTTGCTTCAAAGTTACTTTATGGAAAGATCATTAGTTATAAAAAAAAGGTGATAGTACTTTAAAATACAAAACTGGATGCTTTATAACTATTCATTTCTTTTTTTTTCCTAAAAAAATACCAAAAGATAAACGAACATTAAGGCTTGGCGTGGCCTAATGGTTAACGTGTCAAGCTGTGGGGTTGAAGGGTCTAGGATTTAAAGTGTGATGCCATTAAATATATTCCACATTTTCAGCTGTGGGGGGTATAAAAGTACTGTGAATTTCGTTTTTCGGTTCAATTCTTTGTTGTTAGGCGTAAATCCACACAATGGGTTACCTGTGATTTGCCAACCTCTAGTATCGAAACTCAAATTGGATCATTATAAATCCTCAAATTTACTACTGAGCCGCCGATATGTTTTTTTCGTTGTTGTTTTCGGTTCAAAGAGCCAGATAAAGCCTTTATGATATTGTGTGCTACTAGCTTATTGCTCTTCCTCTGTTCAGCAGTTATACTTGGACCATCGGTGTCATGATTTGGCCGTTTAGCGCATGTGCGGACCGTTTGTCGCTCTAGTTAAAATTTCCATCTCCCTCAACATTAACGTTTATAAATAGGTAGTTTAATATCAAATGGTCAAAAACATGATTTTTATACTGTTTTACAATTATGTTGAAACAGGAACGCATTACATTTAGAAATGTAGTTTTCAAAAGATAAGCGTTCATTCGCAGAAATTTTAATGCTTTTGCTACACGATGGAGTACATGAGATCCATTCTCTACTAAAAGAAAAATCAAATAGAACAGAAAATATAGAAAAAAAACCTTTTTTGTAGTAAGAAGAGCTGAGAATGAAATGTAAGTAAGGATTCAAGAGTGCTTTATGATTGCTAGTCTGAAGTCAACTCTCAACCAACAAAATGCGTACTAGAAATTTGTCTTCAGTGTGTATTAGCACGATCGTTTTTTTTCTTTTTTCGCTGACAAACCCAAGCATTAGAGTAGACGAAATCCCTTACAACCAACAAACTACGTCTGTGCAAGTGGGAAAAAATTGTTAGTTTTTGTTGTTTTGGTTGAATATTACACAATAAATTATCTGCGCTCTGCCCATTACAATTGAAAAACTACATATATCTGCGTTCAAAAGAATAAATCTCTTTTTCACTCAGTATGTAAAAATGTTATCATGTTATAATTTGATTGGAAAACATTTCCTTATGTTCACAACTAATATTATGATGTTTTTGTTTCGCTTTTGATAAAACATGATTGTTTAAATCTCTTTATTTCACTCCATTTCAAACATCTCCAGGATGTAGACCGCTAAGGTGTTTGTCCTCTGATTGCGTCAGTGATTCTAAAAGGAGTGTGACTCAAGATAAACTTGCTCAGCAGTTTCGCTCAGAAATATTTCCGCATCGCTGCTTTCGAGCGGTAATCACCAAAAGTGCTGAGCACGTTTATCATGAGTCACTTTTGAATCCTTTTGTGCCAACTTTGAAGACGCACTGATCTGATGTAAGACATTGTACATTTAACGAAAACTTTCTTTTTAATTTGCCCACCTTTGGTTTTCCAACGGCACGAGTACTAGCTCAAATCTATAAATGTGCGATACACCCACTTCCCCCCCCCTCCCAAAAAAAAACAACAAACAAACAACCTTAGAGGTTTTTTCTTTAATTAATGAAATCCTGGACTAATATCACACAATCCAGTTTACAAAACAAAAAAAAATTCCAATAATGACTGCTCGTGCATAATATCAACTTACAGTATATCTAAAAATAATCAAAAATTTAAAGTTTTGAGTCAAAATGTTTTAGCACCTATATAAATGTGTAGCTTTTTTCATCACGTGGCACTCACTTTAAAAGGCTATCAAGACAGTGTATGTTATGGAGCAGGCAAAAAGTTTGTAATAAATAATCTGTTAAGCACATGCTATTTCAGATCAGCTACTGCAAGCTACTGTCTTCCTTTGCTGTATTAAATACACAGGCTTCCTATAAGTTCTTACAAATAAATTGTCAATTTTGTACTATAATATTCAATATTTTCTAACGATCGCCGTTTCTCACTGCTAAAACATACGAGGAATATCGGAAGTAGTAGTCTTTAGATTCAAATTATGAGTGGATAGTTTTCACTCCAGGTCATATAAATTGCAGCCTTCTCCAGTAAAGAAATGTTTGCCAATTAGGACATTCTTTCACATAGTTTATTTTTGCTCTACTTTGAGTGTTTGTTTTTGAATTTTGCGCAAAGCTACACGAGGGCTATCTGCGCTAGCCGTCCCTAATTTAGCAGTGTAACACTAGAGGGAAGGCAGATAGTCATCACCACCCACCGCCAACTCTTGGGCTACTCTTTTACCAACGAATATTTGGATTGACCGTAACCATATAACGCCCCCATGGTTGAAAGGGAGAGCATATTACGAATCGAGCGC